TTTTCAACTGCTATTGTAACAGTATATCAGGAGCCTTGTATTAAATTTTTACACTTTTTGGCCCAACAGATAAAACTTTATTGATATTTATAGAAAAAAAAACTAAAAAAAATTGAAAGCTGTAAATGTCCATAAACAGCTCAAAAAGAGTCAAAATATTTTCAAAATTGTATGGTGTATAGAAAATGCTAATTTAAACATTCAGTGAAATTTTCATGTATCTACAGTTATTTGTTTTTGAATTACAACAAACTAAGGAAATCGCTACATGGGAAATCGAGTGAATATTCAATGTTGTAAAAATTTGAATTTCAAACGCTCATAAAAATTTAATTTGACTTTCTTATAGACATTTTTTTTTTTGATAAGGGTAGATAATCTTATAAGGAATCTTGTGTTAAATTTTCAAATCTTAGATTTAAAAAGAAAAATTTTTACGAATTCTTAACTCAAAATAATTTGCTAATTTTCGTGATTTTTCCATATTTTGTCAATTTTTGAACTTTAAGTGCTTATAAAAAAAAATTGTGACTAAGGATTTTTAATATTTTTCATCTGCCTTTGAAACAACATATTAGGAGCCTTCTATTAAATTTTCAAGCTTTCGCAACCAACAAATAAAATTTTATTGATATTTCTAGAAAAAAAACTAAAAAAAAATGAAAAATGAAAATGTCCCTAAACAGTTCAAAATAAATCAAAATATTTTGAAAATGTTATCGTGTATAGAAAATGCAAATATAAACAACCAGTGAAAATTTCATGTATATACGTTCATTTGTTTTAGAGTTACACCAAAAACCAAAATCGATTTTTTGGAAAACCAATTTTGCGTAAAAATTCCCGTTTTTCCTTAATTTTTATGTTGTTTTTTCCCGGCGCTTGTGAAAACTACTGGGAAATTTATACTTTTGACCCCCCAAAGTACCAACTAGATTCACTTTCCTATCAGAAAAGCTACTGATGAAGAAAATCCAAGCACTTTTACTGTCCTAAAACGTGATGACAGACACAAAAATAAAAAAATAAATAAAAAAATAAAAAAAAAAATAAAAAAAAAAACACACATCATTGTAAAATCAATACATTCATCGTTTCACTCAGAATCTAAAACTGAACATTTTATAATTTTTTAATTCCAACGATCGATAATTTTCGAGATTTTGATAAATTTTGTCAAAATTCCAACTTTAAATGCTTATAAAAAAAAATCGTGCCTATGTATTTTTAATATTTTTCAACTGATATTGAAACAACATATTAGGAGCCTTCTATTAAATTTTCAAGCTTTCGCAACCAACAAATAAAATTTTATTGATATTTCTAGAAAAAAAACTAAAAAAAAATGAAAAATGAAAATGTCCATAAACAGCTCAAAAAGAGTCAAAATATTTTCAAAATTGTATGGTGTATAGGAAATGATAATATAAACATTCAGTGAAATTTTCATGTATCTACAGTTATACGTTTTTGAATTACAACAAAATAAGGAAATCGCTACATGAGAAATCGAGTGAACATCCAATGTTGTAAAAATTTGAATTTCAAACGCTCATAAAAATTTAATTTGACATTCCGGTAGAGATTTTTTTATTGATAAAGGTAGACAAACTTATGAGTAATCTTATATTACATTTTCAAATCTTAGATTTAAAAAGAAAAATTTTTACGAATTCTTAACTCAAAATAATTTGCTAATTTTCGTGATTTTTCCATATTTTGTCAATTTTTGAACTTTAAATGCTTATAAAAAAAAATTGTGACTAAGGATTTTTAATATTTTTCATCTGCCTTTGAAACAACATATTAGGAGCCTTCTATTAAATTTTCAAGCTTTCGCAACCAACAAATAAAATTTTATTGATATTTCTAGAAAAAAAACTAAAAAAAAATGAAAAATGAAAATGTCCCTAAACAGTTCAAAATAAATCAAAATATTTTGAAAATGTTATCGTGTATAGAAAATGCAAATATAAATAACCAGTGAAAATTTCATGTATCTACGGTCATTTGTTTTAAAGTTACACCAAAAACCAAATTCGATTTTTTGGAAAATCGATTTTGCGTAAAAATTCCCGTTTTTCCTTAATTTTTATGTTGTTTTTCCCGGCGCTTGTGAAAACTACTGGAAAATATTTACTTTTGACCCCCCAAAGTACCAACTAGATTCACTTTCCTATCAGAAAAGATACTGTTGAAGAAAATCCAAGCACTTTTACTGTCCTAAAACGTGATGACAGACACAAAAAAAAAAAATAAAAAAAAAACACACATCATTGTAAAATCAATACATTCATCGTTTCACTCAGAATCTAAAAAGAACAACTTATCAATACACAACCCGGTGTATTTGATAAGTTCCTTAGTAAAACATCTGTAATATTGAAGATAAAATAAATGAAAATAATTACGGGGAAATAGAAACAATAGTTGTTTTTAAGGAAATTATATTTGTTAAATAATTATTAAAGGACTACTTTGCATAAAAAATGAATTAATTTAATGGTTCAATACAACTGTATTTAACCATTAAATCATGGTTAACGGACCATTAGCTCACTATTTATTCAATAAATATTTAGTGATTGTTCATGCATCCCAGCATAAGTATTTGATTTTAAATGCACTTAAAAGCACGTAAATGTGTTTGAAGTATTTGTCTCCTCAATTAAACGAATATTTTTCATCCTATTAATTAAAAACAATATTTAATAACTATTAAAGTACCTATGACACAAATAAATACGTAATAAAAAACGTGTCAGTTAATTGTAATGAAATCTTTGCAGGGACCAATGAGCAAAATTCAAATTGGAGTAAGCGGGAAACCTACATTTTTATTTTATTTGCTTGAAAATATGTAATATATTATGTTTTATCTATAAGAAAGTACTTAAATAGATACAACCGTAATATTATATTTGTGGCATATTTTTATCTCGCAAATCTTAATGCTGGTACTGTACCACTTCACTCCGCTGATTAAAATTTCAAATCAAAGCTTAAAAAAGTAATATTAAAAAAAAATCAACCCGTGCATTTTATAATGACATCACTCATAGATAATTAAAAAGTAGAGGGCATGTATATTTTTTAAAGCTTGATAGTCGGTGGAACTGACGCGTGCAGGAGTCTGAAAATTTGATTTCAGTAAGAGAGGAGAGTAATGTAAAGTGTGTATTAATGATGAGTAATGTTGGAATTATTGTACTCGTATAATATTTACCACCGAGTCATTCCACCGTGATGAATATAATAATATTATATTAAATATTTTGAACTTTGCTGAAAGCGTTTTACTTACGTGCGAGGGGATTGTATTTAATAATTAAAATTCTACGGTAGTCTATATTATAAATGCCAAGGAATGAACAACGCTTAGCGTTTAATCGACTTAAGGGATGAGAACACGAATAAAATGAGACTATATAGGTGGATTAGAAACGATGAACGTAACAATGACAACGAAACAGACGTGTTTTGATATTTGTACAACGTAATTTTAATTTTTTTCTTAACGGCTATTATACATACGTAACTTAAGTAATAATTCAAAAAGCAACATCTAAAATCACTAACACAATAATAATATGTCTATTATAATATATTATATTATTTACATACACTGAAAACTGGTTACAATAGTACTTTTATAGATTCTACTATACATTCTACGCGCTTGTTACAAATAATAATAATATTATGGCAATTATGGACAAACCGCAGTAATATAATAATATTAATATAATAATTTTGTTAATCTTATAAATATATCATTACTATATCGGTGTTGTTGTATACGAAAAGGACTCGTGTCTGTGGTGGTGCATTTTTACGGTATACTAATATCGTTGTAGGATAAAAACAAAATAATAAAACGCATCGACCTCATCGATTTTTCACTTTAGTCGACTGTGGTCGCAATAAACGTTCATCGGCACAATAATAATATTTTACCATTTATTAAGCACTACCTACATTAAAAAAAAAAAAACTAAACAAACTTATATAGGAAATCGATACGTGTTTATTATTGTATACGTAAGAAACATCGCTAATATCAATAATAATTATCATCATATTTTTAACATAATATACTTATTGGTGGTGGAATCATGACTGGGCGGTTGCTCACGAATAAAAAAATATCACCAATACTCGAAGGAAAAATATATAATAATTTATTATGTTTAATAATATAAAAAACCGATCTACTTTCTTCAAAATATATTATTTAAATAAAACGAACTCTGTAATAATAATAAATACATTAGGTATATAATTATTATTATTATCTATATGAATATTATTACGGAGGGTGATTATAACAGTGAAAAAACAGAGACAGAGAGAGGTAAAAATCATTGTGTACATTGTGTATAAGACACGAATTAAAATCAATAAAATACATTCACACATACACACACACACATACACGCGTTATACGTACACAATTATAATACCTATACAAAAACTTAAACGAAAAATTAGTATATGGTTATGTACAGTGATTACAATATTATACGTTGTTGTCGTGAGATACGATTTCTCAGTCAGTATAGGTGCGAAGAGATAATATTAAAACTCGAACGATATCTTTACAATAAAACACTATTAACCAGGCAAACACGCGGGGTAAGCTGGTTTGTAACAATGTATTGTACGCTGTACTTAATAATGTTGAATGTGTGTATAGTTCAGACTAAATGTACGTGTGTTGTCCATGGTGGAAGTGACGAGTGGAAGGTGGAATCGCGATTGGACGACCGGCTATAATGATAATACACACGCATATATTAAGGGTAAGTCTTATCTAATAACGCTGTTATCATTATGTGCACGGTGTATGGACTATATTATATAGAGAGTGTGTGGGTGGGGTCCGGGGGATTAATGTGGTTTGCATCCGTTATCGTTGTATTACAATCATCATCATAATACAGTGTTTTTTTTGTTTTTGTTTTTGGTGGGGTGTGAGTTGGAGGGGAGGGGGTGGCGGTCTAGATCCGGGACTCGACGGCCAGCGGGCTGCCCCGGGCTTCGGTCCTGGCCTCGCTGCTGATGCGCATCGACGACAGTGACGTGCCCAGGCAAGAGTTGCTGAAACTTCCGTAAGTCGAACCGAACCGGTGGCTGGACCGGAACGAGTGGTGTCCGTTGATGGTGTAGATGGGAGACCTCATGGCGGCACCCGGCACCGGCGCCGCGCTGGTCGGGTCGACCGCGTCCGCTCTGCCCGCGAACCCGACGGTCGAGTCGCTCATGCCGTTCACCACGAACTTGTCGGAAGGCCGCTGTTCCAGGCACACGAAAAACGTCAGCGTGACACCCTGCAACACGATAGATAGCTCGCACGTTAATATTAATATATACTCGTTCTCAATGACGATTATATTATATCACATTAATAAATATTGTAATAAAAACGGGCAGAGGCCCGATTTGTAATGACGTGTATACCTCTGATATACCTAAATGTATTCAAACAGGTTAACACAAACAAAATAGATTTGAAAAAAAATATATGCCTAGTATATTTTACGAAAAATAAATAGCTATAGGGGCGATTTTTTGGCGAACTCGGTATTATGAGATAGGACATAGAAAGCAAATGAGATCTGTGACGATAAAGAGGGACTTTAAACTGGATATGATCTAATTATTATACGGAGAGTTAATGATAAAGTAATTGATAGTAAAAAATTGATAACGTTGTGTGGGAATCAAGGAATGGTATTTATCCGCCGTTGTTCCACGTCAAATAACCAAGGTGGACAAGTCCAGTTGGGCAGTGCAGGGTACGAATTGGACCGTATATAGTTGTAGCATTCCAAAGGGAGATTTAGTTTAAACGATACGAATTTCAGGAAGGGTTTTTGGACTCGTTCATTCACTCGCATTCAGAATTAGAGTGAGGGTTCCAAATAATGAAACCATGATACAAAATATATTTCAATATAGCTGTATAAAGCGATTTAAAAGATCATGGGTGTTTAAACTTAGACGAGTGGTGTTGAATAAAATTTAACAAATTCGGACACGACCCCCGAAATCTACCCATTACTATAATATTATATACTTGTGAAAATTATTATTATATACATATGTTATTGGTCTAAAAATTTTAAGTGCTCACTGTTAAAAAAATTTCCTCATTTACACGAAGTGTTTGAAAATTACAAGAGATTTTCCAACTATTCAAATCCACGATAAATTTTAGCTTTTGGTTTGTTTTAAGCGTATACTTACCCAATAGTTATTTAAAATAACTAATTTTGTATTAGTAGTAGACCTGGATTAATTAATGGGTATATTTATAATCTCAGTTAACGTAAGACTACAATGAAACATTGAAACACACCTACCACACAAGAACTAGGATTATTGGCGATTATCGAAATCAGCAGGTATAACAAAAGGTCAAGGATTTGTACTCCAATTAGTCGGATAAAAAAAATTTATTAGGATGTGCTGCGTTATCGTTATTTATATTTATAAACAAAAATCGTTAAGAGGTATATAATTAATACTATGGAAAAATTCTATGAAAATTAATTTTTGTATTTCCAATATTATGGTTTATTGAGCGGTTTGAGAGTAAACACTCCTATTATCAATATTCAATATTGTAGAAGAAGATCTCGATCTGTGCCTGAATAAAAGTCAATTTTTGATATTTTAGTTACTAAATTCGATAACTATTCAAATTCAAAAAGTGAAATATAACACTTGTTTTAGAGCTATAAATATTGGTCATTAAAAGTAAAACATCGAAAATCGAAAATGAAAAATCGACTCATACACAAGACTAAGTAAACTTCTTCTCTTCAATTTGAATAGTAAATGTTCATAATGTCACTAAATAAGATATATTGGAATTACGAAACTAAGTTTCAATGTTTCACTAATATTCACATTTGTAATAAGTGTGTAAAGTGCTTGGTTATTAATATATTGTACTTGCAGGCAAGTAAGCAGGGGGGGGGTATTTATAGTTGTGTAATTTATTTATGTCAATCATCTATGATAGCCCTCTCAATTTTTTTGTTGGGGTACGTGTAAGCGCTTCACCATTTATTTTATACACAGTCACTCACACTGATGATTACTTACTCGATTAACATTGCAAACACATAGAAAATTGCCTATATTGGACTCCTTAAAAACGGTCGGCATTGAGGAAAAGAAAATCTGATATAAATGTTGCTAATTATTTTTTTATGTTTGTGCTGTAAATATATATAACATTGTAATATAATACTTAGCTGTACGTATTCGAGTTTGTTTATGCAGTGGTATAAATCAAGTAGTTAGAGGAGGCATAGAATGGACTGTAATCGAGCCTCAATGATAATATTAAAATATAAAAAAATTCAAAAATATTGGATATTGTGTAAATATGATATTGTTTCGGGAACGATGACGTGCGCGAAATTATATAATATAATCTTTGAAACCATTAATTTCCCATCGAAGTACTCAAAGCAAAATGTTCGGGGCTCTCAACCGAATGGCATAAATATACATCAATATAATATAATACGTACTCATAAATAGTGAGGGCTACATTTAAATATTATGAGATTTCAAAATATAACATTAAACGGAACAAAACTATTCAATATTATTTCTTCGGCCTTTTTTTCTTTCAATAGACAGTTGACTTTTTGATTTATATTTTATTTATTCTCGGGTTGTCCTAATAGTATTCTCTCTTATAAGTCCAGGGTTCGGACGAAGACGAGGACGAAAACCATTAAGCTTCTATAATATGCGTCTAAAACTCTAAAAACATTATGGTTAATGGTTATACGCACAGGCAAATGTGAAAAATAGTGCCAAATTGACAAAATCTCTTAAATATGCGAAATACGATTTTTCGTATATCAACTCTCAATAGGTACTCGTCGTATTTGTATAAATTATACGATTTAATATTTACGTATTGTAACTATTTCACTTTTTCACTACAGATATATGCAAAATATAGTGCAAGTCCCGTACCCTGCAGCCTGCTAATGACAACGTGTGATACTAATTGTTATCATCAAACACTGGAAGACGTAAATATATTTTGCTTATCCGAGTTCTATGTACTATGATAATTTACTTTCACATTTACACGACATTTGATATCGTCGGGTGTGCGGCTCGTTGCAGGAATACTTAAAATGCGCAGTTTTTGTCGTCGTCATTTACTCCCCTCCTCCTTCCCGCCATCATAAATATACGAAAAAACTGTTTACTCACCAATACGACGTGCAACGAAATCTCAAAGTACGTTCCGTTTTCAAACCCGACCAAGTCGTAGAGAACGCCAGCTATCGACGGGCCCAAAAATGCACCTAGGGCGAACGACGATGACCAGATACCGGACAACAGTCCGTAAGTGTGTATGTCGTTTGGAAAACCGCTTTGCCTGCAGAACAAAATATAAACGTTACTCGCCTATAGGTTGTTGCTTTTTGTATGCCTTTTATTTTTATTATTATAATATTATTAACTGTGAGTGAGTTATATAACTTACAAGGCAGCGGTCATGGAATCTACGAAAGTGGGTACGCAGATCATGCCCAACGCGATTCCTTGTATGACCAATCCAATGACCACCCACAGCATGGATCTGGAAAACAAATGAAATTTACGATTGAAACACATATACAATTATTGCATCGGTACAAATTGATCGGATGAAGACGTTCTATATATTTTACACTTTCTCAGCGAACGGAGATAAACAAAACGAAACGAAAAAATTTCGTTTCTCTCTTGAAAAGGAAAATAATACAAAACACGCGGGCACATAAAAAATGAATATGAATGAAGAAAACAATATTGTTTATTAGATTACACAAACCACCCTCGTATTTCTTTTTTTTATTATTATTATTTCGAGTGCGTCAGTATGGTGAATAAATTATTGTGATGCGCTCGTATACATCTATCATGAGGCGGTGAACGATACTTGTAAAATATTTACAAGTCATTCTTTCTGACAGCCCTACACTGGAGGCATTAAATATACATTTTATTTCACTTTTTTATTTTTGAAATTAAATTTAAGACGTCCAAATCGAATCAATTTACTTCTGATTCGATTTGAATATTTAAACATTCGAATCTTTAATAAGTCGGACAAGCCACATAATATGTACATTTCGACTGATGTGAATACAAATACATTACTGTAGCGTCAACATGAAAAATTAAAATTAAATTAATTATAATATCATCTATACAATTATATTTTGAATTTCTGATACACCCACAAATAGTGAAATCGTCATATACAATTTAAAATTGGTGTTTAAAAAAATAAATTTATACTTTCTTACTTTTTTACCTTCATAATTTAATTATATTCAAATATAAGTACTTACTGTAGGTACTTATACTATAATTTATGAAGTGTCAAACAAAATTTGTAAAATTATAATCTCTTTTCTTGTGTTGTAGAATAAACGGATTTAATTAATTTTATTATTGACTGTGCGTAAATTTATTAAAATAAGAAGTTTTTTTTAATAACCCTTCATTTGTAATTTACTAAAATTGAAACGGTATACCTAACGAAAATGTTTGTTTTATTTTTGAATACCATCAACTGGAATCTTCCTAATAAATTTCATAGGTATTCATTTTTTTACCTAATGTCTACCTAGTATTTTATTTTTTTTCAATCGTCATTAATGAGCAAAAAAAAATGGCATTAAGAAATTATGTATAAATCGCTTTATTTATAATCTAAAATACTAACTCATGACTATATCTGATAATTTCACATAGACTAGAAAGTAATATATTTGTTCATACATTTATGAATAATACTTTTATAGCTTTATTTTTTTGTCAAAAATCCATATTGATATAGATGACACATTTTAAATGTGCTTTAGAGTTTAGATAGTCACTCAGAAACATTTTCAATTTTGAATTTCGAGCGGTAAAGTTGAATAGTTTTACTATTTTAAGCTGTGCAAAATTGCGACGAATTAAGTTAGATACATTTAGCAAACTGTAACACTAGAATCGACCACCGCTTTGATATATTTCGAGTGATGTCATATTCGAAATCGTTTTTCGAAATCGACGATTTTTTTTCAAAATGTTTTTAATGACAATAAAGTATAAACAATACTGTCTTAAAACTATAGAACTAACCGCCCCGGTGCCTAGCCAGCCTAGTATACATTATTATGTCTGCTTTTTTTATTAGAATTTGAACGAAATGTAGTCCATTTTTTACCATGAGTTCAGTCCGTGTGGTTTAATATATTATATGGCACTGTGCGACCTCTACTGCCGGCATTCTAATCTAAGCTCAATTAGTTTCAAACAAAAAATAATTCTTTTCAATTATAATTATTTCATTACATAATATGTGCCCAGGTACAAAGTTTTAATCAATAACACATGTTAATATCATATCGTTTTTGATACAGTAACTACGCATCGAACCTATACCAACAATTAAAAATAAAATGTACATTTTATTATTAATGAGAATACGCGGCCTTCAGTAAAATGTTATGTAAAATCGGCTGCTTGACTATATATTATAGGTACCTACTATAATGATAACTAAATAAAACAATAATGATAATGATAACAATAAACATAAAATTTTAAAATTATACCATTGTCAAGACATGATAAGACTTTTTACTGTATAATAATTTACTCGAAATACGATTTTACTTGTGAGGTTTTTGAATGCACTCGAATGGCACTATTAAAATATATTGTTAATCAATTACTATATTATGCAAGTTGTAAGTTTAAGTCGCGTACATAAGGAGTTATGTTGTGAACAACGTTCATATATTGTAACTGGCAGTATTGATAATGGTATTTATATTATGTAGGTACCTACTGACCAGTATAATATACTGTCGTACTGGTATTTTGAATTTTTAGATGTTTTCGATTTTTTTAGTGGTTTCGGTATTTTTTTTAATTACGTCGTAACTCACGTCACGAATCCCATGCTTTGTATCAAAAACAGTTCACATTTCGGATTCCTGGTTTAAAAACAAGTATTTTAATTGGTACAAAAAATTACCAAAAATATCACCAGTCCTAGTATACGCATATACATAATAATTTAGGTGGTACGTGATTTTCATAATTACAGCTTCTCGTAATTTTCACGTTCTGATGAAAACATGGTATGACGTTAGTTTGATTATAACAAATGTTTCCTACATATCCCAAGGAAGCAATTTTAATTAGGTACCTATTCTGATTCTGACTCGTACACCCCGGGGGCTCGAGAATACCACTAAACTTCATTGCATTAAGTGCTACATATTATTATTATTATACTTACTATTCCAAAAACCGTAGACTTTGTAAGTATAAATGTGTACATACGTATATGCGTATAATATATATTCTATAGGTGTTTGGAAAACATCTTATAGGTATACGCTTTAACAATTTTCCATTGCTACGACACGGAAAATACTGGACCATCTAAATGACGTGAAAAATACCTCCACACCAAACGACAGGTCACCATTATGTAGGTGAGCAGTATTGATCATGGACTCGGAAAGGACGCATTCAGACACCGTACCGGCACAGGTGAAATAACATAAAATAACCTATCTTAAGTTGAAATAATTTTACTTTTTCCGTGAACGAGAGAAAAATCGTCACTGAAAGACAAACCTACAGTTATTATTACTACATATTATAATGTTGTTATTTTTTTTTTTTTATTCGTGTTAATCGTCGACCGAGATATTATGACCGATATTCAAAAACCCTAAGATTAACACAATTAGGTACGAAATCCTGCACGGTTTTTAAGTATAATTATTATTTAATATGTATATTATCATAATATTCAAGTAGGTAGGTGCCTACAGGTACATAGTCCGTGATTGTACATAATATAAACGCGCTGTATGATTTTTGTTTTGTTTTGTTCATTTTCATCAAAGGTTATGACATTTTTCATGAGTAATATTATATGACGCAGTAAACTTAGTTGAATTTTTCTGAACATATTAAGTTGTGAAATTTGAAGTGATCGAGTACTCACTCTTTTACCTGCGGTTCGATTTCAAATATTTTTTACTTGTAGATTAGTTTTACACTACGTCAATGTCTATTACAGTTTGAAATAATATTCAAATGATCGCTATGGTTTACTCTAAAATTCATCAGAAGTCGATCCAGTGGTGGTCGGCGAGCAAGTCGAGAAAGCTAACAATGCCTAATAAGCTTTCTAGAAATACAATTTAAAACAACCACTTTATACAGACATCTCCACTGATTGTCCATAACCTACGTAATAGATTTTTTTTTTTGAACTTTTGTTGACTTTTGATTTGATACACTTTCGTCTACCACCAAAACGATACATATCTATAGGTACCGAAATTCACAGTTAAACAACGTAATATTAAAACTGTTCGTCCGTACTTTTCTATCGGCATGAACGGCGCCGGCCCGACTATTGAGTAGCTGACGACGGTCAGGATTGTGCCGATGATCATAATTTTTTTGGGATTCAATCCGGTGTCGCAAATGTATCCGACGACGGGCGCTATCAGTGCGTACGTTCCACCGCTGATGATGAACACGAACCCAACGTCTACCGATGAAAGTCCAAACTGCGGAACAAAGGTATAAATAAATAAATAATAATGCGTGTGTGTGGTGCTATTGCGCGTTATAATATTATAAAATATATTTTCGTACACGGGTGTGCCTGATTAAATTTTGATTAGACGATTTACCTTAGATAATATATTACAATTTAATGAAAACCGTATCAGGGCCCGTGACGAAATACACGTATACGTCTAACCTCAAGTGCTATAACCTTGCAGAGAGTATATCTATATCCTTTATAGATCTATCGTGTATGGTTATGTCACGTCAATATTGTAGACAAAAAAATGTATCGCAAGACCATTAATTATTATATCTAGCAGAAAATAATGAAATTCTCCATGCAAAAATCATTAGCCTACGACGACGACCGTGTGCAATTTCTAATTCAATATATTTTAATTGAATGATAAACGTACAAAATGTTAAAGCATATTTTAGGTGTTTGAAATGGCGGTTAAAATAAAATCTGTTGCCCCGCCGAAAGTTTTTTATTTGTCAAAAGATAGTTGGTATCTAAAAGTTTTGCAAATTCTTTAACAACTCTGTCTTGTGGTAGGCATATACGAGACGTGGTAATAAATGTAGTTGAACAACGAATAAATTGAAACTTTAAGAGTACCAACAACAATATAATATCATGTTGTTCCTCTATAACTATTTACATAGATCTTTAACAGATATTTTCAAATTAAGAAATCACAACGTAAACTAGGCACAATTTTAAACGAGATAATATATCGTCACTACTCACCAATTAGTTGTGAATTTCCATAAATTATCATTGACTAACAACTTTCGGGTGAACAAACTTTCACCTATCAGTGTCTTATTTATTGATATATAGTCGCAATGCAACGATCAGAATTTTATTTTCTCTGTGTTATTTTCAGTTTAATATTCTAGTACTATATGTAAAGCGCGTATACGATATTTTATTATTTATTCATACTCGTGTAACGATATATACAACCCTGGCCCTCCACACGAGTTTTTTCAGGGAAACCAAGAGTAACCGAATGTATTCGAATAAAAATAATATAATATTTTGTTGTCGGTACACGTCCGGCAATGCAAATAATTTGGTTATTCAGCATATAGTATAATATATTAATGTATATATTATAATTTGTAATAATTTAATAATAATTAATATTATACATTACATATTATCCAGTAAGGCTCGGGTGTTTGTTATAATACAACGTCAATGTTGACATTGGCCAAGTTATAAAAATCACGTTCAGATAATAGTTAAATAGTTTATAACTATAGTTTCAATTTATACACTAGATACGATCTCATTTATTATTGCCGAACGTCTACAAGTAGGTAGGTCGTATAGGAACTCAATTTGTGAAAGACTTGCAAAAACAACGAGGCAACATACGTTTGTTAATGAAATCGTCATTGAGTAGATAGTAGGAAGAAAGTACTTCTATATACTTATAGATAGGTTGTTGCAGCCGTGTTTTTAAAAATAGGTAGGCACTTACCCCGCGAATGTGTGGCTCCAACGTGGCTGAATAGTATCCCATGGCTGTGGCTGTTATCACTGTTGCGATAGAATTAACGAGTACTGTAGGGACGCTCATGAGGTGTGTTACTTTTGCTGCAATAGACACAATATTATAATCAATATTGAATAAAGTTATTAAACTAAATAATGTATAATATATATTATACAACGGCAATATTAATTTAATTAGATATCATTGGTATAATGTGTATTGTGTAACATGGTTACGGTTGTAACTTGTAAATGCTCACTTTTAGCCTTGTTCGGACTGGGCACGTCTTGTTTCATTAAAATGCACACCAGGAACGACGTTCCAAGTGTGATGAAGCCCATGACCACAAACGGCAGTGAAAATCCACCAACCTGTCAATATTGACACGGTATAATTTATATAATATGAATAGAATAGTATAGGCAGTTAAGTCGAAAAAATATTAATTATTTTATACAAATATTAGTATAGGACCATTAAAGTCTAAACTCACCTCGAACAGCAAAGCGCCGAGAGTTGGTCCGACGATATATCCCATTCCGTAACATACTTCAAGAGCGGACTATATAATATTATAATGTAAAAATAAATCATTAGTAATTAGTTTAACATATTTTTAATCTATTAAATATTTTAAGAGTGTGATTTATTAGTTAATATAAAATTGTACAATATGTAGACTGCACATGTACTCAATATTAATATATTATATAGGTTTATTTTATTTTTTGTCTACAGAACACGATGGTTTCACAGAAATATTATATAAATATTTTTTTTACTATTATAATTAATTCGAGTAATTTGTTTGATGAAACTTTTCGAAACCGTGAACAATTTAAAAACTAATTCACAAAAACTGCAGTTTCAGACATTAAATCGAATATCTTTGTCGCATTACATTACATAGTAGCGGGTCTGTATTTTTTAATTAGAGTTTAACACAACCTTCAAGCCGTTTCACTACAAGATGTACCTCAACTGTACCGAAAGTCATAACTACGTTAGTGCTTTGTAAATAATCGCTTCGTCACACCGACCTGCATTTTTATTATCCACGTGTTCACAAAACTCTATAATATTATGTTTTATTGCATCGATAAACGAGTAGGTGTATTCTTGAAAACATATTATTCACTAGAGAAAATCTGTACGCTAGTTCACAACTTTATTTGATATCATTATCATTCGGTTTCGTTTACAAAAAATTTTGATTTCAATAATTTTTTTGAAGATTTTAGGCGGTGATGGTTACTGTATATTTTAATTATTTTTGTAGTAGACAATTCGTCTACTACAAAAATAATTGTTGGCCATTAGAGGGTAAAAATGTGGGCTCTATACTCTATAGTTATACATTCATAATAAATTACAGTATAAATATAGGTAAACGTTTTTATTTTGGTATATATCTGTATAGCCAATAGCCATATAGGTAATATGATAATTTATTTTTAAAGTCTAATTAAAATATAACTGTGAAACAATTTTTGTCTTATATAAAAGAATGTTTACAATCTGTACTAATAATATCACAGCAGGTAAATTAAATTAATAATGAACATAAACAAATAAACATGAAGACATGCAAGAGAGGGAAACCCATTAGTAGCACCTCTAGGATAAATAATAAAATAATATTCTATTACTTTTTTGAGGAATGATTTTTGTAATTATATTATATTTGTTAAGGCGTATCTTGGTCAATTTATCCTCTACCGGAATATCATGAAATAGTTAGAGGATATTTGGGAGATTAGAGGATTTTTGAGTTTAGTAAGATTGCTGTAATTTAGTAATAAATTGGTGGGCTAGTTTTTTGAGTGTGTGGATATGTAGGTCATTGAGTAAATTTAAGTTAGATATATGTCATGGGCATTCAGTAATTCGTAAACTAATCGCATGAAATGCTTCCAGTTGTTGAACCGTTTTGCTTGGCCCAAGATTTGGATGGCGCATGACCAAATAGGAGGTATAATAGCTTTATAGATGAGTATTTTGTTATTGAGGCCATGTTTGGACTTAAGGATGAGTGGATAAAGTGAAGGCGTGAGTTACCTTCTTTCAAGTAGTACTTTAATTTTTGGTATGATCTATTTCCAGGTGAGTCTTTTTCAATACAATTTCAAACATCAAACATTTTGATGAACATTTGAAAAACTTCACCTCGTTAAATACAAGAATAATGTTGTGCTTTGTGGGGGGTTAATAAACGTAAATAAATTTAAATCTCAATGTTATGTAAGTACAATGATAAATATACGTACGAAAGTGCTGGCAACCGATTCGGGAAAAGAGACAGCCGTCAGCGAGAACGCGGCTACCATAGCTCCTGTAGCTCCCAAAGACTCCAACACCCTAAGGCACAGCGATAACAGCAAGAACATGTTTCTTTCATCGATGTACGTCAAATATCTGTAATAATTAAAAAAAAATAAAATACACGATATTATAATGTTATGTGTACGTGTAATTTTCATATCTTTTTAAGGATACGATAAAAAGCGTAGGTTTTTTTTTTTGTTCACGTTACCCGAAAGCTATGGTCGACAGAGCGTTCAATACGATGCCAATCACCAACATATATTTCAGCCCAACCTTTTGTATCTGAAAAACATAACAATAATAATTTGTATACCAGTGTTCAAAATACTATGTACAATGTACATTTTACTTATTGATTTGTACATATTTTAATACATGATTTTATTGAGTAAGTATCTGACTAGATTTATTACAAAACTTTTACAATTTGTTCACACTAAATTAGTTTAAAATGGCACCGTCGGTAAAAGTACTGCACCGACATAACATACACTGTACATATTATTACAATTTGTAATGTCATTTTATGTGTCCAGCGATCAGTATTTTATTGGTGAATGCAATTTTCAGTAACTATTTCTATTATATGAGTCTTGCTGTGTGCAAACGTTACTTTAGATTCTGAGAGGAGCGATAAATAGGTAGGTACAATATTGATTTTACAGCAAAACCAGTACTACTTTATTTGTTTGATATAACTTAAAAAATAATAATATTGTAGATACTTTGATTTTCAGTGACTGTTTATATTGTCATTTTCAAAATATTTTGACTCTTTTTGAGATATTTATATAGACATTCGAACATTTTTTTTTCTATGTCAAAAAATTTTTTGATCTTCCCAAAAAGTTTGAAAATGTAATGAAAAGTTTCTCATAAGTTATTCATATACCAATAAAAAAATATCGAAAATACATAATATAGCTAGGTACGGTAATTTTTTATAAGCGTTATTTTAAGTTAGAATTTCAACGAAATTCGTCTGTACGGTGAAAATTTTAAGATTATTTTGTCGTTAAAAATTCATACAGTTATTATCATTATTATTAACCGTCAACTACTGTACAGCAAAGTGTGCAACCACTTAACCCTTTTTTTATAATTGAGACGTGCTTGAAATGTCAGGTTAAGAACGAGTGCTTAAAGACTATATGCTTATGCTTCAAGACCGTTTATTTCAATCAGAATTATATAAGCCTTATTTTGACGAATGTCTACTGAGTGTTCATTCTTTTCTCGCGCTTATACAATGAAATAAAAGTAGAAATACCTTTCTAGTCACTATAATGTACTATATCGGTCATCGGTGAGTTATATTATGTAATAAGTGTGCATTTATTTACTATTTAGTCATAATTTGAGTGTTAACAAATTTCAAATAAATACTTATGAAGGCATTATATTTAATATTTAGTGTCTAGATCTGCTAGAAGCCTAAACTATAATTACAATAAACATATTTCGTATTAACCATGATGATTTAAAATTGCATAGTTTTGCTTAAAAAAGAATGTCTCACATTTTTGCATAGTTTTTGGGCACCTAAAAAATATTAAAATTCAAAGCACTCTCAAATAATTCTCCAATTGCGTTTGTATCAATTCCTTATAATATATTATATTATACGCCATAAAAAAGTCATTACCTACTTTTTTTAATACCCATTGAGATATAGAGCTACAATTAATAATTATAACAATTATTGTTATAGAATATTGACATTTAACCTGTTAAATATAGGTATGTTTGTACAACAAAAACTCATTAAAATTAAAAATCATTCTAACTATAGTTTAAATGATTACCAAGATACCTATTAGTTATTTTTAATTGTAGGTATAAATTATACCATATTGTTCGTTTTGAATTAAAAAATAATATTCAAAATACCGTACAGTGTACAAAACAGGTGTAATATTTTTTAATAGTTGCAAGTTAAAAAATTTACCGACCGAGTAGGTATACTAATTTTATATGTTTACCTTTTACTCTTGTGGTAAATTTACGACTATAAAAATTTGGTTTCAACTATGTAACTGTGCACGCGCTTACTATCATGAATGTAAGGGACCTCCTAATGTATAGTACATTTTATTAAATCCAGTGTAAAAATTTACTTTGCTCAAGTTATTTAATTACATAGTATTGTATATAACTTTAATAAAAAAGGTTTTAAATTACAACATATATAATACTCTGCTCTATACTCTATAATTTAGGATTATAAAAAAAGTGTATTCAACAATGTGCAAACTGTTTCAATACCTTTTGGGCACTTTGTTTTTATTGTTATTATGTAATACCTTTTTCATTCCGCACCACTACGTATTATCATTATTGTCCCCTTTATGTGCATGAATATACACGTTAATGTCTTCATATATTAATATATGTACGTATTTATAATTCTTTTTCATATTTTCTCTGACCACATAATATATTCTTCTCTGTCCCGCACAAGACACTACCATACCTAATTTATGTAAATATTTTGTCAATTGGATTTTTACCTATCTAGAAAGCAATTTCAATGAAATACAAACAGTACAAAGTACCAAATAATAATATTTCAAAGTAAGCCAAAGTAATTTTTTACAAACCTTATTACAATATTATATTTATATGTTTAGTAAAAATATTATAAATTTACGAGAAACAAGTTTTGTACATTTTATCAGATTATACAGTGTAAAAAAAATGGTGAGTGCGACCACTGCGTTTTTTAAATCTGTATAAAAAAACCCGTACTTAACGGCTTATTGTCGAGTGCCTACTCCAATTCCTGTCGTCACATATTGTACGCAACAGTAAAATACTAAAGTAAATGTATAATGCTGAGTACATAGTAACCACTAGGTAACCAGAAATATACGTTTGCTTAGTTTTCACAGCATATTTTATTATATAGGTACGTGTTATGTCTGATGTGTACATCTACCCACAATATACCTAGGTATATAATAATATTATGATGTCACGTGTTTATGTGTAGCTTCTTTTCAGCAATATTTATTCATGTGCTAATTCGCATGCATAATATTCCGTATCCCTCTTCTCCGCGTTTGAAGTGAAATTAATAAACTAAAAGGTTATGATACAATTACACGTATCGTGGAGATTATTAAATGTATCTTTTCACGAGAGTGTTATTCACGAGGAATGGCGTCGTATATTATATAGGTTAGGTACCTGGTACACAGTTATTTTAATCACTTGTTTCGCACTCCGAAGCAAAGTTATGCACCTCACAATGTAATCGTACGCATATTTCGACAGTTGAAGGTATTGCGCATAATATATGCAGAGTTGTAATAAATACTTTTTAAGACCGTAGTAGTACAGCCCTGCTGTATAGAATGTGTACAGTACATCTTATCACTGAGTAGGTCTTTGTAATGGTTATCTTAAATTTGAATTCAATGATAAATCATCATTGTCAGCCTCTAAACTTCTATAAGGATATATTTTAACGATTTAATTACATTACGATGGTCAAAATATTTTTCTATTGGTTAATAGAAAATATAATGTGTTGAACTAATTGTTGACAAAAACATCATATATATTTATATATATATATTATCATACTTATTACTTATTATTTAATTATAATCAACTTGTAGGTAGTCAATACCGATGGACGTATGGTACGTAATACGTACCCAATAATCGTTATATTGTCTTTAAAACTTTAAACGCTTAAAAAAGGTTTGTCTGGGTATTTTCGATATTTTTTAACTGCTGCATGAATAAATTATGAGAAACCTTGTGTTTAACATAAATCCGAAAAAAACCAAAAAAGAATGTCAAAAGTTTTAAATGACTATAAATATTTCAAAAAGATACAGAAGATTTTGAAAGTGTTATCATGTGTTTTATAAAGTTTTTGATTATAAAATAATTAAATCGATTAAGTCAAAAATTGGTATAGCATATAAAAAGTTTTTTCCAGATTTCTTTTAGATTTTAAGTATTTAGCTCTAATATATAATTTATGTACTATGTTTTCAGTACTACCACAGAATAATTATTAAATTATTCATAATAACATAATATAATACATGCACTTCGTTGCTCGGCAACCAATAATTATTATTATAGCAACCATATTTAAACAAAATTTTCCATCAGAAATCTCAAAATCCCGGTTTGAGCCCCACCCGAGGTGGGTTCTCTCCCTTTTAAAATTTACCTATTCTTCCTTAATCTATCCATAATTATATATACCTATATATATATAAATAGCTGATTCCGTGCACTTCGTTACCCATTAAAAATGCGAACTCTATATGAATTATATGTTTTACATACTACCATGGCAGTATGGCACCAATTTATATACAAACAATTCCATCGGAAATCACAAAATAATATATAAATGGTTGCCATGGTAATATAGACACACGTCACGCGCAAACGGAAATCTACAAATAATATAAGAATGGTTGACATGGTAATATGGACACACAGACAGATATACATTAATTTTTATATATATAGAAGATAGGTACCTAAACATTTTAATGTTTTAAAATCAAATTTATAATAATATTTAATTAATTAATCATAATTTTTATTTTTTTTAATTATGGTTCCAAATAAACTAGTTAGTAGCGCTAGTGTTCTTGACACACGCAGCTGATCGTCTTAGCACTTTTCAGTTTTATTTTTTTTAAATGATAATTTGCCTTGTTCCGTATCCAGTATATCTTAATTCATGCATAAAACCACATGAAAATAATTACAGAAATTCAGACATCAGATTTTTACAGAATAAATTCTGTTTTATTGTTGTAGTAAACAGAAAAGCATGACATTAACCGTAAATCCTTGAAACTTTTATTTAATATTTATACAAGTGTTTTCTAGAAATAATAAAATCATTTCAAAAAATCACAAATACAGTCACAACTTTTTATTTTTTGTTTTAAGTTAAAATTCTTACGAAATATAAATACTATTACTACTAAAATGTGAAATATTGACAGTATTTAATATTCCACAGTCAGTTTAAGTTATACTTTTTTATTTCCAAAAATATTAATATTCTAGTCATTTGATTTGAAACATTCCACTATTTTAGATTCTGAGTGAAACGATGAATGTATTGATTTTACAATGATGTGTGTTTTTTTATTTTTTTATTTTTTTTGTATCTGTGTACACGATAAGTAGTCGAAATAATGCTTCGATTTGCGAAAGCTTGAAAATTTAATAGAAGGCTCCTAATATGTTGTTTCAAAGGCAGATGAAAAATATTAAAAATCCTTAGTCACAATTTT